CCCCCCAACTCCCCTGGTGAGCTTAGACGATTAATCATAAAATACATTTTCTTCTATGCGGCAGGGTTTGGATTTCTCGTCTCTCAAACATTTCTTTCAAAGAAATACTCATAAATTTTTTTCTTTTAAAAGAAAGTATCCTTATTTTCGACTGACTGAAAAGCATATTAGTTTATGTTAGGATGGACATTTTTTCCATCAACAAGGGAAAGGGACCCTTCCTTCTCTTTTCTTTTCTTTTCTTTTCTTTTTCATGCATATATCATAATGGCAAAAATTGTCTCTTTAGAAAATGAAGGAATATCCTAGTACTTAATCCTTTTTATCACAAGAAGTCAAGATTTCTAACGTAAAAAGGGAATAAAACATTTCATTAACAACTTTGTTGGTAACTTTTTTTTCTTATAAAAGGGTAGAAGCTTATGTGTATAATATATGCATGTTTTAATTAAAATAAGTAAAGATTGTTATGGAATCTAATGTGGTTGTCCTTGCCACCACTCTGCCTTCTTTTATGAAAGAAAATTCCCTCCAATCTATATAAAACGAACAAAAGAGAAGAATATTCCTTTTATAAATATATGATGTATAGAGTAGAGATTTATTTATACACTAAATTTTATACACTACATTTATATAAAATATCAATAATTGATTCATCAATTTTTAATAATTGAAATTTATTTATATTTATTAAAAATAATTGTTATCATTATTTAAAATATTATGATAAAATTTAATTATTAAAAAAATAATAAATAATAAATTTTTTTTTATAAATATAATATATAAAATTTATATATAAGTAAATCTGTACTCGTAATATATATTTTAATATGACCATTCAATTTACATACATAGAGAGTCGAAGGCAAATTAAAGGCAACAAAAAGGCTCTAACCACCTCAACGAAGACTTTGCCAACAGTTGAAGACTAGAATTTCTTGCTTATCCCAACCAAGAATAAAGCACTCACTCGTACCTAAACTCAATCATGTGTCTTCTTTGACTAAAAGTTTTGTCTTTTTGGACAAGTGTTCTTTAATTAAACTATTGCTTTGCACATGGTAATGGAGACAACATAAATATTGAATATTTAAGTTAGAATCAATTTATACATAATTTATATATATTATTTATATAAAATTATGAGATTAGTGTGTGCATCAATTTCGATACTGAAAAATAATTAGAGATTTAACTTAAATCTGAAAATTAAAATTTTATTTTATTAAATATTGATATCTAAATTTGAAAACTCATTATAAATTCTAATATATTAACATTTAATTTGATAAT